CATCACCACCATCACCACCACCACCATCACCATCATCACCACCATCATCATCACCATCACCACCATCACCATCACCACCATCACCACCACCACATCACCATCATCACCACCATCATCACCACCACCACCACCGTCATCATCACCATCACCACCATCACCACCATCACCACCATCACCACCACCACCACCATTGTTTTCTATTCAGATGTTGAAGGAGCTCTGGAGGCTGCTGTAGGTTGGCTGCTAACTGAAAGGTCGGTGGTTTGAACTCACCAGCCTCTATGAGGGAGAAAGATAGGGATGCCTGCTCCTGTAAAGATTTTCCATCTCAGAGACCCTGTGGGGCACTTCCACTCTCTCCAAGAGGCTTACTACCCGTCAAAATGGACTCAGTGGCACTGAGTTTGGCTTTTGGATTGGATGATGCAGTTGGTTAAGCGGTGGGCTGCTAGCCACAAGGTCTGTAGTTGAAACCCACCAGACACTCCGAGGGAGCAGGATAAAGTTGTCTGCTCCCATAAAGACTTACAGACTCATAAACCATATGGTGCTTTCTGACAGTGTTCCACTGCTATTCATAAAGTTCTTAGTGACTAAATATTTCAAAGGAGTCCTTCCCTCCTTCTTCCTAGTCTGGCTTCATCTGGAAGCTCATCTGAAACCTGTCCACCATGGTGACCCTGCTGGTGTTTAAAATACTGGTTGCAAAGCTTCCAGAGTCACAGCAACATGCAGCTACCACAGGACGACACAGACAGACAAGTGGTGCGGTTCTAAAGAGAGATGACCTGACAGAATGTGAAACCATCAGACAATATCATTAATATTGCACGAAAGTAAAATTTTGCCAAAGGGAATTTAAAAATGGCCACAACCATACAGCGATAGAGAACTGCCAGAAATTCAAGTCGTATTCAGAGAGGAGGTTTGTTGTTGTTGTTAAGGACCGTGGAGTCAGTTCCGACTCACAACGACCCTGTACAGGATTTCTGAGGCTGTAAATCTTTACGGGAGCAGAAAGCCTCATCTTTCTCCCATGAAATGGCTGGTAGTTTCGAACTGCCGACCTTGAGGTTAACAGCCCAATTTGTAACCACTATGCTACCAGAGAGGAGGTAGAAGGAGGGATATCATTGCTGATGTTAGATGGATCTTGGCTGAAAGCAGAGAATACCAGAAAGATGTTTACCTGGGCTTTTTTGACTACCCAAAGGCTTTTGATTGTGTGGATCATGACAAGCTATGGATACAGAGAATTCATCTTTTGGAACACTTAATTATGCTCATGAGGAATCTGTACATGGACCAAGAGGCAGTTGTTTGAACAGACTCAGGGAACATTTAAAGAAGCAGGGAATGATTTAAAATCAGGAAGGACGTGTACCAGGGTTGTATTCTTTCACCATACTTATTCAATCTGTCTGCTGAGCACATAATCTGAGAAACTGGGTTCTATGGCATCAGGATTGGAGGAAGACTCATTAACAACCTGCAATATGCAGATGATACAACCTTACTTGCTGAAAGTGAAGAAGACTTAAAATATTTACTGGTGAAGATCAAAGAGCACAGCCTTTGGTATTGATTGCATCTCATTGTAAAGAAAACAAAAATCCTCACCACTGGAACAATAAACAAATTCTTATCAACGGAGGAAAAATTGAAGTTGTCAAGGACTTTATTCTTTTTGGATCAACTATCAACACTCATGGAAGCAACAGTCAAGAAATCAAATGGCATATTGCATTAGG